TATAGGGCTTTGGGTTTATAGGGCCTAAACCCTAAACCCTAAACCCTAAACCCTTAAGGGCCAAGGTGTAGAGAAGGCCAGCCTTCGACCGTAAGCGAATCCTCCGTGGGATTGATGCAGCCGACATCAAGGAAGGCAAGTCTTCCTGAGCTCTCAAAAAAGGGTTTAGGGTTTGGGGTTTAGGGTTTAGAGTTTAGGGTTTAGGGTTTAGGCTCAAAAAATGGAGCACTTAAGTTTGTCAGAACCCCTGATTAAACCCTAAACCCCTAAACCCTACATTATCGTCTAGTAGATCAGTACTTCAAAAAAAATTGGCAGTGGAGAACCAGGCTTCTCCGCCGCCAGAGGAGCAGAGTCAAGTAGTAGCCCACCGCACCAGCCGCACTGCACCAGAAACTTAGCGGTGCTCCAGGGACGTAAGTTGGGAGGATGCCAAACCGGCATAACATTAAAGCAGCTGAGGCACAGAGCATACCTACCACAAAGGCAGGCTGGCTGTTGTGCAGGTATAGTATGTTGACATACTTCAGCCAAGCTTTCGTGCGCCAGCTGTGGGACCAGAATGCATCGAGTCTCGTTACGACCTCACTCAACCCATAAAGCTGCTTGAAGTCTCCTTTCGCCCAAATGCGAGGTGCTCGCTGCAGGAATCGATGAACAGGGATTCCTCGTAGGATCTTCGGTCTTGTGGCTTTTTAGGGGTTTAGGGTTTAGGGTTTAGGGTTTAGGGTTTAGGGTTTTGCATTGCTACCAAGACCTGGAAAAAAGGCTCATGCATCTTGTCCGATTCTGGCGTCGCTTGTGATCCAGACTCCTCTGCGCCTTCCAATGACTCCACAGGAAGAACTGAAACTGGAGACAAGGATGCTGGCATGGCGACTGCCCAAAGACTGCGAACCAGCCTAAGGACCTCGCAAACCTGGCTGTGGTATGGCACTTGATCTCTCATGGGCTGCAGCCGGGAGAACAGACTTGCACGTACATGCATGTGTAACGAACGCATGCACGCACAATGAACAAAGGTTTCCACATCCACATACAGCATATACACACAGACATATCAGAAGAACATAAAAAAAAACGAAAGCGACTATCTATCTATCTACCGATCGATCGATCGATCTATCTATCTATCGATCTATCGATCTATCGGTCTATCTATCTATATATCTATCTATCTATCTTTTATGGCGAGTGTCGACCTCCAGAGATGGTTTTGTCCTCTCCAAGCATCTGCAATAACCGCGTCGTCAACTAAGTTTAGGGGCTTATGGGTTTAGGGTTTAGAGTTTCGTTAACTAAGTGAGCACAACTTCCGATGCAAAGCCGCGCATGGAATGCTTTGACCAGGTGACTCTCAGGTTGTTGGAGACGGAGGAGGAGCAAGTACACCACATATGTCACAAGTGCGCATGGCCACATCTATGATCGCTGTGACATCCCAGATGTTTACGGGACGTGTGGCTGTCATGCGCCACATTGAGGCGACCAAACTAAGCCCTAAAGCCGAAAAGCGGCTACACCTAAGCGTCCGAAACACCCGTTCAAGACCCCCTGTCGTACCCTCACGAAACGCGCTCTCGCGAACCCCCTGAAACTTTGTAGCTCCGAAAACACCTGCACCATACCCCTAGGCCCTAAACATGATCCAAAGACCATCTACATAATGTAGAGGCCTTAATAAATACAATAGGGTGTGGGGGCCCCAGTTTTGGGGGTCCGAGGCTCCGACGACCCCGGCCAAGGTCTCGACAGAACGGTGAGGCAGCCCCATAGGGTTTCGGGTTAAGGGTTCAAAGGCTGGGGCCCTTTTTACGGGCCGCTTTCCCTCATCCAACGAGACGGAAGGTCGCGCAAACATCATGGCGACTTCGACACCTTTTTGGCTGTGGTCTTGGGTCATCCCCCCCTAAACCCTAAACCCATTTGCAAGGAAGGGTCCGAAGAACCTCCCCTTGCCCCCTTGCCCCCTTGCCCTTTTCCCTGCCCCACCCTCTCCTCTGCTCTTGGCTTGACCACCTTATACGGCGTGGGGTTTCTGAGAAACGGTTTAGGGTTCAGGGTTGAGG